TACAGGTGAGCGAGAGTCGACGAAACGTTTTCGATTGGGAAGCAATTGCGTCACAAATAGTATTTAAATCAAGATCTGGATGTAGATAACCTAAATCTAATTCTTCAAGACTCTTTTGTGCTGTTATTAATTGAATTAAGCTCGAGAGTTGCAGATTTTCTGATCCGGATCTCAATGTAAATATTGGATATTGCCAGATTTTTATTTTTTTGAGACGACGAGAAATCTGTGCTAGACTGCTTAAAATATCGCTGATGCCGGGCACCTTGGATACACAGATGAATTCTACCAGATTTGAGAGATTAGTCGACGAATTTAAATGTATTAGCATTGTTTCCAAGGAGAAACTATCTCGTATATTTTCTATCCCGAAAACTTTTAACGATTCGCATCGTCTAACAAATAATTTTAACATTATTAGTGTTATTAAATGCTCGGATGCAACTCGTTCAAAATGCGCAGGATTTTCACCATTGTCACCATTTCCATCGCTTCTTTGTTTCTTGACGTTACGTACGGAATTGTGAAAAAATAAATTCAATAATTTCACCAAGTTTAAAAACTTATGAGAATTTTTAGATGATGCATTATAATCTATTGTTTTGATTGCAAAGGATTGCATTTGCGCAGCTTTGGCTCTCGACAGTGCGTACCAACAATGAACTCCATCCAAAATCTGATCAACATTAATCTTTTGCATGATCCCCACATAATCGATGCTGCTTTTCGAATTTCGCTTTGGCAAAACTATCTTGTGCTGATGGAGTGTTTGACGATCTTCATTTTCGAGAAATGAAATATAAGTGTTAAGTAAGGACGCTACGCGAAGGCGCCAATCTTCAATTGACGAGGTGGTTTGTCCTCTTTTCGCTAGCAACAAACCAAACGGATCATACCACAACATACGAACTGTGTTTAGACACCATTGTCGGTTTATTAATAAACAGGTAAAGAGTGTAGAGATGTCTTCGGATGGAACACTTTTTAATATTTCTGTGATGCATTCTGATGGTAAATTAGGAACGCGTGATTGAGATTCTATTAGTTGCGTTTGTCGCGACATTATCAGAACGTGTAGGAATGAGGATGTGGAAGCGGAATGCTTTTATATTTTCACACAATTAAATTATGTCAGTCGTATTTGCATTACACACTACCCCTTTTCCACTGTCGTGATTTATTAACCCAATCATTGTTGATATCTTCTCATTGTCAATATAATAGCATACATACACAATGCATATTTGTACATGTCTGTGTGTTTACCTATAAAATTTCATCGAATATTTGAACAAAGTGCGTCATTTTTGAAAATTTTTTCCTTTTCAAGTCTAATTAATTATTGTGCATGGAATCTTGTTCCTTTTTTTCTAGACCTAGATCTTGATTTAAATACTATTTGTGACGCAATTGCTTCCCAATCGAAAACGTTTCGTCGACTCTCGCTCACCTGTA